TGAGACCATGATTAATATATCAGTCACTGTATAACTTTCAAAACACATTTGTTATAGAATAAATGATGAAGGTAAAAAAAAAATGGACTGAGTGCTCAAGTTTAAGATCGATTTCTTCTGAAAATTAGTGTTAATAAGTGCCATTGTTGGTTTTTTTATTATTTCAAATTGGAATGACATATCGTCGTGTGAATCTTATAATGATGTAATTCCCATTTGGTAATAGTGGTAAAAATTTAAATGAAAGTTTAAAAGATCAATATCATAAATATCTGACTGAGACATAAATATAGATTATAACATGGCATTTTTCATATCAGACCCCTTATCAGCCCGAGAGCCGACTGGCTCGAGGGATGATTTTGACCATGGGCTGATAAGGGGTCTGATATGAAAAATGACATGTTATGTTTTTTTAATCCTATACTTCAGCAGAAGACATACAAACAAGAACTTTTTATAAAACTTTGAAAAATGCATTTATCGTATTATTTTTTTTTTTGCATTTTTTAATAATATTTTTTCATGTTTCCTAATATTTGTTTTTTATTTTATCCTACTTAGTTATGTTTTTCACTAATAATGTACCATTGAGGTGTATTTTCCGGAATTTGCAGAATGACGTCGAAATGCCAAGGGATAACGTTACAGAAAGGCATGCGATAATAAACGGAAGCAGTTGATATAAACCGGAAGCAGTTGATATAAACAGGAAGCAGTTGATAACGAAAGTCATATCACACGGCTGAGGCAATTTTTCAAATTTAATGAATAAGTATATGAACAAATTAGTTTTATCAAGGGGTACAATTATACCATTATTTTCTAAAAGTATATGATAAAAAGTTATATAGGAATCGAATTTACGTACATGAAGAGTAACACTTTGTAAGATAGTTTTTTTTAATATACAAGCAACTTAGATTAATAAAGCATCCCTTTTTTGAACTTTTCACTACAAACAATGTAGTTTTAGAAATGTATCCCTATATTTCCATTGAGATAGACCATGGATTTTTTTAACTTTGTAATATCCCCAATTATGTACAGCTGAATTTGATAAGAATTGTTCATAGATTGAGTTCAAAGCATGCAAACCATTTAGTCATAGTATTACTAAGATAATTTTGAAAACAATTATTTAACAGCAAAATTATATGAGAAATAGTGGTGATACAACACTATATAAATATTTTTCTCTGAACTAACTAGATTAATATGCCATTATAATCCAATGGGAGTGTGGAGATAGAACAGTGTAGTTCTGACAAAAACATGTACAGTGTAGAAATCTTGTGTTATAGTTGTATATGGAGATATACTATTGCACTTGGATCTCAAATATATAGTTATCTCCATTTTTATCAAAATTGGACATTTTTGGGGCCCTTTATATCTTGCTGTTCGGTGTGAGCCAAGGCTCCGTGTTGAAGACCGTACTTTGACCTATAATGGTTTACTTTTATAAATTTTGACTTGGATGGAGAGTTGTCTCATTGGCACTCATACCACATCTTCTTATATTTATATAACACTATAAGATTAACACGACGATATAGACAGATTCTTTACTGATTCAAATTTAAAAGATGTCTTAATAAAACTTCATACGGGCTTTTTTATATGTTAGTTAATGAGAAAACCTATCCAATCATTTAAACCACTCCCGAATATTTTTTTTTATCCTTTTTGACATTTATTTTATTTACTGCGCAAATCTTTTAACCAAATAAATGAATACAAATTTTACCTGATTTTTTGCACCAAAAATATTTTATTAATCTACAAATTACTTGACAGATGTTGTAATCCACGTACATGTAATAATAGTCCTTATATAACTTATGTTATCTTCTACATTTAAGACTTGGCCTAGCTGTTCTCCCTCAAATTCATCAATAAACTCATCATAGATACCAGGCTTCATTTTTTTTTTACGCCAAATGAAAGTTTCCTCTACAAAAGACTCGTCAGTGACATTCGAGTAAAAAAAGTTAAAAATGCCAATTAAACGTACAGTTGAAGAACATTGAGTACCCAAAAATACCGAAAGGTTTTGCCAAATACAGCTAAAGAAAGCAATTCCTGGGGTAGAAAATCCTAAGTATTTCGAAAAATTCAAAGCTTTGTAAACAGCTAATTTTTAAGTTATGACCATATCAATGATGATTCATATGCATGTCAACACAGATACCCTCGGGAAGGAAGCATCAACCAGCAGTGGTATCGACCGAGACCAAACCCATTTTCCAAGATGAAATTTTGTTCCGCTCCTCAATTACTTACTGGAGATCATCAACAGAATTTTTCACATTTCTTCTCTGAACAATGGTTGCTAACACAAGTCTGTCATCCTTATTTCCACTATATGAGATAAAGGGATTCCTCTGTCTCTACAAAAAACATCCAATTTGTCGCGTTTTATCCCAGCTACGTTTTTCTTGTCGATAATACTTCAATTACTGATTAATTTCGGAAATCTAAGGACGCAAACAATCCAACAATGCAACGCAGTGTTATGTGCGTTTTATCTGTGAAGAGATCTATTGATATGTTCCTCTTGTCAAAGCTGCAGTCACGTCCTCGTTACTTAGAGGGTGAAATCACCGATCTGTATTCTAACATTATCAATTGTATGCCTTTACTTTATAAAAAAGGGGGAAGATATTTTAGATGCAATTATAATTATCAGTATATTAATTAGATGTTTAATGCTCCTACCTTATAGTTTACTTTAAGCCCAAAGAGAAACGATACCGGAAGAGAGAAACTATACCGGAAGAGAGAAACAACACAAAACAGGATTTCTGCGCAAATGCAAACGTCTGAAAATAAGTTAACAATTTTGGATCCATTAGTATATTTTGATAATTTTTTTGGATTTTTTTACTGTTACAACAGACCTCGTCCTCATACAATTGCTGCTGCTGCTTCATAAAATTACCTGCACTTATGATTAGTATTTTACTTTGAAAAAAAAAACAACATTTTGTTAAGAGTAAAATCAATAACGGTACCAATTATAATGCACCAGTTTCGCATTTCGAATCAATGTCTCTTCAGTGATTCTAGAGTTCAAAATATTTGGCTTCCAAAACTTAATTTAAACAATGAAGAGCTGATAAAAAAGAGAGACCAAAAAGGTAAGGCCAGACTCGGGTAAGGAATCAGAGCTATGTATGAGATAGATAAGTTCCTTAATTAAAATAATTTCCAAAAATGTATAACAGCATGTTTTAATAAAACAATATCCGTAAAGCTTCATTAAGTTTATTGCACTTTGGGAGAACTGAATGGGGAGGACATCTTTATTTCATTATTTCATATTTATTTTTTGGGTTTTTTTTGTGTGGATACGCATTTTTCAAATAGGCCTCTCACATCTTAGAATAGTCAATTGGGTGAATATATAATATATATGTCAACACTAAATACATTTGTTAGAGGCAAATGAGCTTCAACATGTTTAACCCCGCCACATTATGTATGTGCCTGTCCCAAGGCAGGCTGCGGTTTGATATATTTGTTATATATTTTTTCATATATTGGTTTATCACAAATTAGACCTTCTTTTTTTTTTTCATTTCACTCGATTAAAATTCGTTATGTTGGGATCTTTTATATCTGACTATACGGTATGGGTTTTGATCTTTGTAGAAGGCCGTACGGTAGCCATCATTGCTCAAATTCATATCATTTGTATTTGCTGGATATTTGTTTGATTGGCACCCCCACACCACATCTCATTATTTTATATAAACAATCAGATAATGTTTTGAAAATGACATGAAAGCGTCCTTCAAATGTACACATGACACATACTAGAACATATCAATAGCAATAGATTTTGCTGTAAGAACAGTGCATACATTACATGGAACAGGGTCGTAAAACCAGACATCTAAAAACCTAACCACTTTTGAATAGCATGTTTAAAATATTGAACACACGAACACACGTGTGCTAAGTGAATATGTTTAGCGCTAAAACACGTTAAAAAATCAACACAAAAACTGTGTTAAAGATTGTTTTTAAAAACTAAACTGCATTATATAATGCAGTTCAAACTATTATGCTAAATTCTAGTTGGCATGTCAATACTGAACACCTTTCTGTTTGGACAATTTGGTATTAATGGCAGGTCTTTAGTTGTTTCTGTTAAATATTATCACATTTTTATCTACTCGGAATAATTTGATATTGGTTTGTTGAAGATTGTGTGTAGCCCTCTAGATATCTATTGGCCATTTTTTCCGTTTAATTAAAGTCTCATACGGTGCACGTAAGACCATCCTTGTTCTCGTTGTTCAATCTTTAGTTTTCTAAGTTGAGTTCTGTAGAATGTTATTTGTCTTTTAGTCGTTTTTCGTGTTTTGCCATGGCGTTGTCAATTCGTTTAAATTTGACTTGGGAGTTTGAATATGCCTTTGGTATTTTCCGCCTCTCTCATAAACATAAATACACCATATAAGATAAGGAGATGTGATATGATTGCCAATAAGACAACTATCCACCAAGTACCAAATGACGTAAATGTTAGCACCATGTCCTTCTATCCATGATGAGAGGTTTTCTTTAAATCCATCATTATCTAGAATTATATAAGCGCGTTAAAAAGCTTAATTGCTATTTTGACGTTTGAATGATATTTAGTCAATATAGATTTGATAAAATAAAAATATAAATAAAGGTAGATCTGTGATATTAATACATCAATGAGGATGTAACCCATGAACAAAACGAAACCAACTATACATACCAAGGTCAACATACAGTACAGAACAACATCTATGAATTGCCAGGAGTTAACAGAAAAATTGTGAATTGATTTAAAGAGACTACCCATGATCTGATAATGTCCATGTCTGCAGACACAAACATTAAGATTACATTGTTTTGTATTACAATGATGCTTTTGTCGATGGTGATTTTATTCCTTTTGGTTAGTTTACAGAATAATCGGTAAGGTTTCAAAATAAAGAATAATAATAAACATTCACTTTGATGAATCGCTTTTTTTATTTTTCAATCCTGCTTATTGTTTGTATCATCAGAAAAAATATTATAATTCAATGTTTTGTCGTAACTATTTATTATAAAAGTAGTTTCCGACAAAAGCCGTTGCACAGGAGGTAAATTGAGTGCGTGGTTTGATAAGCATATTAAAAGCATTACAAAGAGAATTCGTAAACTAACAATATAAAATGTTCATTCCAAATATGGGATTTAATGCAGTTCATAAACTTTCTAATGAAAATATACTCGTTTTCACTTGAAAAACTCACTAATTTCAATGTGTGCACGATTAACGGATGTAGTCTAGCGGTTAACTCCACTGTTAATTGTTTGAATTTATATGTATAATCATTTTCGTTAAAATTGTCAGTAAAATATCGGAAGTAAAAGCTGTAAAATCAGTGACAGAGATACAGTGAAAATTTTTCTTCACTTGTAATGAACAATGCGAAGGATGCGAGGTTCATTCTTTTACAGTACCAGATATGAATAAAATAAGATTTGGGATATACGTCAATGAGATGGCAACCCAACAACCCTTAAAAATACAAATATCGTTGGTTGCTGTCTATCATATTTTTGTATCGTTTATTGTTTTGTACATATATCAGGCCGTTGGTTTGCTCGTTGGAATTCTTTTACATTTTGTCGTGTCGAAACCTTTTATAGCTTACTACGAGGTATGAATAAGATCATTATCGAAGGCGTTATAGCTACCTATAATTGCTTACATTTACGTATTTTAGTCATTGGTGGATAGTTTTCCGTTGGCAATCATACTTCATAATCTTTTATATAAAAGACATCAAAGTGTAAAGGTACAGTAACACACCCTCGATTTTTTTTTGGTGGGGTTAATGTTTCTTAACCTGTAGTTTTCTTTCCAATGTTTTGAAGGCTTGTACGTCGCTTTTGTTCTAAAGATTTATCTTTGAATTTCTTATTTGACTTGTATATTTTATGCCTCTTTAAACTCGTCTTATTTTTGTAAAGAAAATAGAACTTTCTTTTTTGATGAAACAAAATCATTGTTCTAAGATTACGCCTTGCTATGGGCTGACTTTCGTCGTGGAAGGTAGTCTTTTATATACCTTTTACTCACATTTTAGAGTATATTGTTCCATGTCAAACCAATTTTATTTATCGCCTTGTTGTATGCAATAGCATTCAAAAATTCATTAATCATAGTAAATAAGTAAACTATTATAAATTATACAAATGATGGATCATGGAAAATATAATGTTTTGAGCAAACATATAGGTATCAATATACATTTATTATGATACTCTTGAAATAAAAATAATATTATATAAGTTATTTGTGTCCGAAGCGCTTTTCTGGATTTATCTTTATCAGAAACGCTCAAAGCCAAACAATTGAAAATGTCTTTCCTTTTGGTGTTTACAACTTTAAAGGCAGTGTAAGCAAATGATAAATTTGTTGGTTGTTGGTTGCTTTTAAAATAATAATAATAAATAATATAGCAGTCGACATTTTTCCTGAGTTATTTTAAAAGAAATTTATGTCATCATGCATCTTCAAAAAGAAAAATATTTAATAACCCGTATATTACATAACTTGGTTATTTGTTGCAATACAAAATATTTGTGTGTACAAAATAATAATTCACATTTTACTTGAAATACAGTAATGCCTTACTTTTGAGTTTTTGTCTGCAATTATGATTAATACTGGAGTTAGTAAACAAGTTATAAAGTACTTACCCATATATAACATATGAAAACAAAGCTTTTTTACAGGATACAAAAAAAAAAAAAAAAGATTACAAGGTTTAGTCCTTGTCATGATTTAATTATATGTCAACCGAGCTTATTTTCTTTCACATGCGCCCACTGAAGATTACATGTAACAAACATACACTATAATATCTATAAAGCACCAAGTATTTATTAAAAATGTTCTGAGTTTCTATTTATTAGTGAATATTCTGCTCAAGCTTTTCAACGCACACGGCTAACTTACCAAGATGCATATTTGCAAAAATGAAAAACCGAAAACAACACTTTACTTTTAAAATGCTAATGGTTGGCAAAATGGCCTTTGCCACTTTTGTGCAGTCTTCGGAATCCGCAACTTATACATAAAAGGAAGGGAATCATTTTGTTTTATTTATCAACTTTTCATTTTAGGACTTGATTCTACGGTATTTTTTATTTTACTTAGCATATTGATATATTCAAGACATTTTTTTATTTCATTTAATCAATGACCTCTCTTACTGGTGACTATGTCACGATTACAAGATGTTGTGCTTAAATGCTCAAAACAAACGCGGTTATGATATTTGAATGTTTGTGAACTGTCCGCATTTAATATTTGACCGTGAAACGGCTAAAGAATGAATGAGAGCACAAAACGGTATCACGGATTATTCTGCCATATACATTTATGGTCGTAGTAAGACAAAAACTATCCAGGCCTTGTCTATAGCTATCTCGTTCCATCTTGGCTAACGAAGATGATTCCATTCATTATTTAAATCATTCATTGATTTTAATGATAGTTTTACCATAATATTAAAATTTAAAAAGGTCGGTAATCGCAAAAACATATCCAAAAGGTACACTATGAATGTCTTATGTTAAAAGTCTTGATGTTTAAATAAAAAAAAAAGCAGCCGTATTGCATAAAAGTATTTGTTATTTTTTAATACTTCAAAATTGTATAACCGATATATTTGGTGTCCTAATGGCTGGTCAGATACTTAAAATATACAAAACATGTTATAAATGCAACATTAAAATGCAAATAATGGTTTCGTAAGCTGTTTACGTTACGACACAATCAGGCATAGTATAATTATATATTCACTTAAGGCTAGGTACATCAAATAAAAAAAAAATATACATAAATGTCAGCATTCAACATGAACTCCGATCGCTGATATAACTAAACAAACTCGAAATGAAACAAAATACGTAAACAATGCATTCATGTATATAACAGTCGATTAGAGTATTCAACAATAATATCTCAAATTGCAATTTCCAAACAAGCATTGAGTGCTATAAAATTCTCTCTGTTTGACAAAAATTTTACAAGTTTTCAAATAAACTCTGGTTTTAAACATATTATGACAAAAAAACATTTCCTTTGCAGAGAAAATTTCCTTAACAATACAATTTACAGACAGTAGTTTTTCATTATGATATATAGTACCATGATATATTGGATTAAATAAAGATACAATATCTTTTATATCATCACTTCTTCGCGATCTTCGAGTTCTATTGCTCCGTTCATTAACGTGTCAACTGAGCCTGGTCCAACAACTTGTTTTAATTTGTCATTGGGACTCATTGCGTTATTTGATTGAGGGGAGTTAACGGACGATCCTGGTGATCTGTAGTTTATATTGCACTGATTGTGAAAATAACTTGGATTTTCGTGTAAAATTCTATTTAACAAATCTTCTTTTTGAGCAGGCGATAAAGAAATCAGCGAAGACCCTGGACTTCCGAATCTCGAAGACGGTGACAATGAATTGTTGCTTGTGAAATATACTTGTTCTGGGTAAGGTGATAAAACTGGCAGTTGGGCTGTGCCGTTCTGCTGCGAATTGGGTCGATATAACCGGACATTGTTGTAACAATTTGGCGATAAATTTGTTTTCATTTCGACATGTTGTGCCCTTTCATTTTGGAATTGCTGTTTTTGTTCTAGATGCTGCTGATAAGTGGGTAAAGCATCAGCCACAGGTTTCAAATACATATCGTTGGTATAAAGATTACAATGCGGTGTTGGACTTGAGTAACCAGTATTAGATATTTCTTGGGGTCTAAGTTGAAGAGGACTGATTCCTGGTAATGTTTGCGGTCGTCGTGTTCCTTGATTGTATCCACTCAGAGAATAAGCAGGTGGAGGAGCGATATTTTCTTTATCAGTTGGATCTAAACCTGGTGGAACGGGTGCAAACCCTAATTTTTCGGGATCTCCAAAGTCGTAAGCACCATCATTCTTATGTGCATTTGATTCTTCTTCGTCCTCCAATAAAAGTTCATTCGCCGAAAGATAAGTCATACTAGAATCTGTATTTGGTTCTTGGTTTTGAATTCCTTGATCGCTTTGCGGTTGCAAAACACGTTTAGTTAGAGCTTTTAATGACTGGTTTGAAACATCGGACGATTCTGGTGACAAATAATTAGTATCTCCGTTAGATTTTGGAGCAGACTGAGTCATATCAGAATACACTATATGACTTCCGGCGGAATCGGAACTAGATCCAGCAACTATGCCGCTTGAAGTCGATGGCGGAGGGTGATTAGCCGATTCATTATCACTGTTGAATCCTTTATTGTGATGTGCTCTTCTTATATCACTTAAACTGCTATGTTGGGAATATGGTTCATTATATATACCATTCAAGCTTCTATTACTTCTATGATGAATTGGAACTATAAATATAAATTTTACAGAAAAATTAGCTGAAAGCTGCGAGTATGGTATCCTAACTTTATGTTTCTGATGTGTATATGTAGAGGTTTGACTTTTCGAACTACTGACCGCGAGCGTATTCTATGATGAAAAAAAAATGAACATTAACACATCAAACGCTGGTTTGCGTATTTTAAATTTCTTTAAATTGAACATTATGTGTATACATGAAATACTGTTTCAGATACCCATGCTGGTATATTTCAAGTATGCAAAACAACGTTATAATATCGACTACGCGACTTTTGTCTTCAAAATGTGGCAACGGCCACTGTTACTTAAATATCCTAAGTACATAACTATCAGTAAGTCATTAATTGTATATAGTGGAGGTTAATTGAGAAACGTCTTAACGAGCATAATCCAATAAATGTAGATTTAATATGACGGTAAAAGGATAAAAACTACCATCATGTATGATGTATAAATATGTTCCAATAACCATTTCAAAATGCATTATACGTACAGTATGTCATATAAGTCTGATAGGTAAATAGAGTCATGTGCAAAACAGTGTAGGCGAGACCATTGATTGGCGCGCTAAAATATCCCATTGACTGGGTCAGATTAGGTGAACGTTCGTCTGTAACGCCCACAACTCACGACGTATTTATTATAAACATTTAAACTGTGGGGTTGCCAAAGGGTTTCAGTATATATACGAACTACAGTGCACAGTATATTATATACATATTTTATTTGCGATCATAAAATGTACGAAGTCGTCCATTACTATGTAAATTGGGTCGATTAAAAAAAAAGCTGAAAATGTTTCTGTTGCCAAGGGTTTTTCACAAGTATAGTAGTTAGCAGAAAAGTTCACCAAACTATACATTTTACCTATTCAAAAACGTAAATGCAAATTCCACAAGGCTTGATCCAAATAGCCTTTTTATTGTCTAATAACTTGCAAGTACGAAAAAGACAGGACAGAAGTATATTTTGTCTATATGTTTTGTGTACGCACACTTTTTAAAGTTGATCATGCATTCGTTCTAAAATAAAATTTTGACCAGATAAAAGTTAAAAGATGACATAATTGGACATGCAACCGCAATTGTTAAATCGCTTTGACGTCCGAAAAAAAAAGATAATAATCAACACATGCATTGTAACTTTTAAAGCCAGTTAAATCCTCTTTTTTTTGTTGAAAGAACGTGCGATGTCATAAAAATTAATTATCAAAACATAACGAAAACACAAGTAAAGAACGTTTACACTGAAATGCAGTCAAGTTTAGCGATTGATAATTCATTGATAACATTCTGGCGTATCACAAACAAACAACTTGTAACGTCTCACTTCATTGGCCGAAAGATTTAAATACAACAACAATTGTTGTGTGCACGTGAATTGACACAGGTGACCGACAATGGAATGTACTACGTTACTACGAACGTAAAAAACAATGATTTTTGGTCGAAATAATTAAATAAGTATTTTGTGAATTTCAAATAGTGGGGTCGAAATATTATACTAATAATTTGTGTTAAGTAATATTCTTTATGCATGCAGCACTTGTACCGCACTATGAAAAATATAAGGATAAAATAAAATACATGTGCCGCTTTTATACGGATGAATGTATGAACCACTTTAATTTCTTTCATATTGACGCTAGGTTATTATCCTGACAATGTCGTAGTTACTTATAATAAGGATCTCATAATACTGATCCATTTCAAATTTATGATGGGTTGCACATTCCTCTTTTATTGTTTTCATGCTATAAAACGAAAATAAAGAAGCTAAGCGTTTGGTCATTCAGAAATGACGTGTCATAAACGAGCAAATTGTCCCCGAAAGATCGTACCATGTGTGTACGTGAATATAGATGTACTATGCAATGTACTATCATGGTCACCACGAAATTCAAATGAATTCAGTGAAGGCATGTTGGTGTAAAAAGGTTTGAAATGTTTCATCGGCGAAGATTTTATTTTTGCATGTGTGGAACTAAAAAATAAATAAATACTTGTGAGAAATGTCGTAGTTTATAAGGAACTATATAAATGTACTGTTTTCGATTTTGATTGGTTGAAAATTTATCCTTTAATTTCATACCGTAAGAATAGAGCTTTGCATAACATTGTTGAACAATCCGCCAAAGTAACGTGTGGCATGCGTGCGTATTAAAATGAAATACAAAATCATACATGTATGATAAACTTATAAACGAAATATTAAGAAATTAAGGATGACTACTGTAAAAGTATGTACAAAAATGGAGTCACCTTTTAAAAATACATTTAGTGAATAACCACACTGTTTAAAACTGATTGTTTTCTATGCAACTATTTAAATATTTACAATATATAATTTTCAACCGAGGATAGCAAAACAGTTAATTATAAATTAAGAAAGTATATCGCTAGAGTTTATAAAGTACATTTCCTTCCACTGTGCCATGGTTTGCCATCTCCATTTTTTCTCTAAACAAAGCATGGCTGGTTACATGTTCTGAATTTACTTAGAATTTCGGGATTTTTTTTTTCAAAATCAAGTAAACTAAATCAGAAAAAAAATCACACTATCCTAAAACTTATGAAAGAATATGAATAATGAACATGACAGTTTATAACACAAACCCATTTACTATAAAAATCGAGCAATATCTTTAGTATGTAATTTGGTTATTTTTGTAGTTAAGTACGGTTTCATTTCAAGTACAACGTTAATTCATCAAGTCCATTGAATAAAAGATAAGGCAGGGTGAGCAACTTGACAAAAAAAAGGCAGGATGACGATTTATGTAAAAAATCAGGATAAACGAATAAATATAGTCAGGACCTAACAGACTGAAAAATAGAAAGACAGGACAGAGATAAAAACTAAAAAAAATGCAGGACAAAATGTTTCATCCAAGTCCTTCACCCCCAATCGAAATAAAATGGTAGCTCCCTTAATCCAGGACCAATTGAGAGGAGACAGTTGAATTAAATATTTCGACGTGACTGTTAAGATTAAAGTTTAAAATTTTACATGCACATGTATAAAAGCTAGAATTGCCATGCGATAATCAAGAACACAATCATGTTCGGGAATACGACGATGGAAGTTTTTAACGACCTTGACCGGCTACGTGAATACTGATCAGTCCATTCAGCTTTATAGTACGCGTGTTCTATTTTCGCAGGTGTGAGGTCGAAGGTTTGAATTGACCAATGAAAACGATCGTTCTTAACGAGTTAATCTAATAAAGTTTGTTTGACTGATTATGTTGCACGACCTTTCGCTAAGCTTGACCGCAGTTCAGTGTAAGTATTCAATATAAATCAAAACACAAAGGTTATTCCTGATTAGTTTTTCGAATTATTTTATTTAGGCGTTGAGACCCTTTGGTGACCTCACAGTTTAAATGTCTATAATAAATACGTCGTGAGTTTTGGGCGTTACAGACGAACGTTCACCTAATCTGACCCAGTCAATGGGATATTTTTGCGCGCCAATCAATGGTCTCGGCTACACTGTTATGCACATGATTCTAAATTAAAATTATGTTGCTTTTGAACTAGACATGAATACATGGTTAAGCTAAAATGATTATATATAAGAAAGTATGACTATACACATATTGCTTTCTTTTTACTACTAGCAATGCATGTCAGCCCGTCGACATTTCCTTCTGAAGCAGTTTCAACGATATAGTTTATTTTCTTAATCAATGTACATTATAAACATCTATATTTCTATTTACTTACTTATTACAAATAAGATAAAGATCTGCAATCGAAGACATTTTAATGTAAACTTTACGGGTCAAAGTTATGAACTGTATTATCAATTTATCATACCTACTTTATTCAGAAGAACATGTTTGCTAAGCTGAATTGGAATTATATTTCCTAAATTGATGTTTGTTTCATTAATAATATCTATTTTGAAAATGTGGTTACTGCCCTTAATCTTAAAAGTGCGCGTTAATTGTATTCACAATATATTTGTTGGAAAAAGATATTTATATATATAATATAACCATGCTTCGTTTATGCATTCTTTCGTTCAAAACAAAAAGTATTCACCGATTGCCAATACGAGAGCTCTTTATTTAGAAAAGTGGTTAACTCCTTATAATAGTACCCATCCGGTATTCACACGTTTTTGAAATCTGAATCTGAATCTGAGTCTGTATATTCCGAAGGCATACTAAATATTTTACGGAGGGAACTAATGTATCACTTCCTGTAATTTATGATATAGTTGGTTCATTTGCATCACACCTTTATCTTTAACCAAAAGTTTGATATAAAACAAAAGTAACAACCATTTATAATGGGAAACAACAAAGCATCTAATTGCTGTTAATATCCATGTACTGTTACTAAATTTTAAGATTCCAGCATTTGTCATATGATTCTAGAGGACCACAAGACATACGCAGTACGATGTTTAACATAGGAAATGAGGACAAGATCCATTAAATCTATGTAAAATATCAGAAAGCATTAAATTAGTTAATATAGATGTTAACTTATAAAACATTGACCCAATTTGCATGACATAAGTAGTTTACGTCTTTTCAATTGTCAAAGTTATTAAACCTTTTTGTCGTCTGAATAAACAGGTTGGCTGGATCAGAACTATTTATAGAGGGGCGGAAGGACCTTTTTGGGAACGCCAAGATTGAGCCGTTTGATTTGCTGTAAATTCTGGAAAAACCAGTTTAATCGTCGGGAATTCGTTGTTCAATTATATCGTGATGCGGGCAGGGACACATTATTTTCACAGGAATTCGGGATTTGGCATTTAGTTTCTCTGGAATTCGGATCAGACCCCTCCTCTCACAATAAATCTCTTAGAAGGAAATAAAAATTTACCTGACAAATGATCCATCTGTAATTCTTTAGTTTTAACGTCCATTGCAGAGTTGTTTGTCCTTAAAGCTTTGAAAACGAGAATTGTTAACAGTATAACAATCAAGAATAAAATGCCTGCCACAGTGCCAAGGACAATAGCTATGATGTCAGTTGACGTTTCGACATTAGAAACTGCAGATAATGTTGATGTTTCGGGAGGTATCGTGGTCGTGATACATGCATCTGGACATTTACTTGTTGGACAGGATATAGGATTTAATGTTCTTTCTTGTCCTAGATGGTCATAGAATCTCAAATTTGGCGTTTGTAGCGAAAGGGTTCCGTCGTATGATCCGACCTAAATAAAAACGAGAGTATACAAGTTTGGTATTAGATTCTTATTACCAAAGGCGTACTAGACTTTCAATCAGGAGTAAACTATTAGAAAAAATGTCCAAAATACATTATTTTTGGTAAACTTTATTTAATCGGTAAATTGATGAACAATAATAAGACGTATCCTGGAAAGCTAGATAAAGTGAAATGATGAAAGAAAACACTTATAATGCCTATTCTCCATCAATTTAAACCAAATTTCAGAATTTGCTTAATGTTTTTGTATCGGAAGATCGACCTAAGTGTACGAGTAATATTTGCAGAAAGTATTTGGTAATCAATCGGTCTATTTAATTCAGTTTCGTTGACTTCACATTTTTACATATATAGATTTAAGTAAATCATTGCTTAGCTTTCAAACATTCGGCTTTGAGCGTTCCTGGTGAAGGTAAATCCAGAAAAGCACTTCGAACGTATACAATTTATAAGGTGTTGATTTCATTTTTTAATGGAATTTTAGAAATTCTTTGAATTTGGTATTGTAAGAAAATATCTGGTATTTTTAAAGAATTGAACAATGCATGAACATACTTTGACTTTTCATCAGCTATTATCAGCTCAGAAGTCAGTGCTTCGGTTCTGGCAATATTTAAAACATACTATTCTTAAATTTCCTGTTTGCAAATTAAGACATGTTCAAAGAAATTAAGGTTCCAACTCCATCAGACACAGTTGACAAAAAAAATCAATTTGACTCTTTTTTGTATCCTGTTTGGTCAAATAGCCTCCAACGTTTAATACGTATTTATACTTCCCTGGCTTTCAACTATTTTGTTTTGAGGGGTCCTGAAGCCCTTCGGACAAAATAAATTGATTTATACAAATAAATGTACACATTAATTGATATACTACTTTTGATTCATAATTTTTAATATTAGGTTTTGAGATCAAAGAGAGAACCAAATGTTTAAATTGTACTTTATGGAAATAAATGGATTTCGTATCTTGAAATTTTGTGAATGCTTTAACAACGAGAATTTCTTCACTTGAATCCTTATTAAGATAATAAGAAAGGGTTTTCAAGTCAAACTACTTTTCTAGACTCGGAAGGGGGGATTTAAAGATCTTCCTATTGTATAGACACCTGTCTATTGTTTAAGACCGTATGTTGACTTTTAGATGTTTGTGTGTGGTTTGCTTGCTGTCTCATTGACTGTAATAAATACATGTACGCCACATCTCCTCTATATTCATATATTTACCTTTACATATGAAAACCCGGAACTGGAATTCCTTTGTATATTGTGAATGGTAAAACCCAAGTTTCCATTGCCATCGGGTTTAAATGGTCTGAAATTAGTTCCATCTGATATAGGGATCGCAATACTTCGAATGGCTTCCGTCCAGTTTGTAGCATTTTCTTTATTCCGTTTAAAACAATTTCCAGCAGTGCAAACTGATTTTCCGGAAAACGATTTATATGCAAGCCCTATGGCATAAACTGCTATCTCGGTGTGTGTATTACGTTGATCAGACACTAAACTTTGAATAACATCACTACTGAGTTTTGCATTTACATCACAACGGCCGGTCCACTCTGAAAGTTTTTCAAATGACCGTGGCATATAACACTTGAAATGTTCCTCCCAAAATCTGTAGAGCCATGGGTTTTCAGTTTTAGTCAAAACTTTCAGAGACTTTAGGTACTCGTTAAATAATCCTGTGACTTGCTTGTTACTATCGGTTGTAAAGACTAAGGAACCTGCCGATTCTTTGTTGGCCAAATTAAGGTAAGTACCCCATCCTTCACTAGACACAAATATCGGCGCGTATGACGACATATTACGATCGTTGTCGTCTGACAGTACTGAATCGCCAAGGATATTTTGTATAATGGTATCTATGGAAAACATGACAATAACATTTACTGAAATGACAAAAGAAGATTAATTTTATTATGTATTTATGATTTCAAATAGTTGTAAATTATAAGATCATGTACATGAAAAAAGCAAGGAAGAATGGACGAATGTTCAACTTTCAACCATATTGAGAAAATTTGTATGCTAAAATGACATATATAAGAACTCTGTTGTGTACTTGATCAGATTGAGAATTCAATAATATTCTCTTGTTCACATTTTCAAAGGCACTGAAAAATTGAAATACCATAAGTTTAAGTTTCTTAAGTGTAATAAGTATGTTTTAGATTGTCTACCATGACAATTAAAAAACTCATTAAAACTACCAAGTCTATAATTTTGTACGAAGGACGCGCGTTTCGACAACAAGACTTATCTGTTTAAAGATATCTTACTTGCACAATATCTCGGAAAGTATTGCCACAATCATGTGGAACATGATCTCCTTACCCTTCCGGAGCACGTGAGACCACCCGCGGTTTTGGTGGGATTCGTGTTGCTCAGTCTCTAGTTTTCTATGTTGAGTTTTGTATATTGTTGTTTGTCTTTTGGTCTTTTTTATTTTTTTGCCATGGCGAAAAAAAGAAAAAGATTTCTCACTGAAAATCGAAAAGTTAAAAAAAAAAAGGCAAATCAAATACGAAATTAAAGAGCAAACGGTCTGCGGTACATATTACTATGATACATATATCTTTTTGAGTGACTTGACCCTTTAACAAACAAAAAAAGTGATACAGTATGAATGTCAATGAGAAAACTATTCATCAGATTTCAAATGAAGTGGAAAGTTGACTTATTTACCTGCTTTATGCAACACTATAAATATTTCATGCAAAGTATTATAACTCACACCTGCCAGAGAACCTGATTTCCCCGTTCATTATAATGCAAGTTCGCAAAAAACTAGACCAAGTGACTTCAAACTAATAGGTTTTTTTTTCTCTTATCAAATCCAAATAAGGTTGCAATCCCATATGTTGTATTTGATTTGGCATGCGGAAACCGCTTTATGTGCAAAAATTTCAGTCTAAAGTAACTTTGACCTTGACCTGGTAACCTCAAAATCGATAGGAATAATTCTCTCATTATATGTGACCACACATCCAAGTAATTAAGGTTGCAATTTCAAATTTATTATTTGATTAAGCATCCGGAAACTAATGTTTTTTGCAAATATCAGTCTATTTACAGTAACCTTTGACCTGGTAACATAAATATCGACAGGGATCTTTCTATCATATGTGATCTTATATCTGAGTATTGTTGCAATCCGATATAAAGTATTGGAGTTGGCATACGGAAACGAAAATGACTGACGAACAGACAGGTCAAAAACTATATTAACAAAGGATAGCTCGGGATATCAAAATTAAAGATTAAACACAGAAAGTAGCTTTTTTTCCCGCTCGCTCTTCTTATTTAATGTAAATGTGTCCCTCCTGATGGAAAAAAATTGTGCAAAAAGACAATTTGAAAATTTCTTTATTGCAAAGGGGTATGGGGACGATACTGTTTGGTAAAAGTGGCTGCTTCTGAACTATATTGATCTCTTTTCTTTTGAATAGTCCAACATAACTAATTACATTGTACATTTTTTTTTCTTTTATTAGAATTAAGATTTAGCCTTAATTAATTGAATGTGCTCTCATCCCTCTCAAGAGATTGCACTTTACCACTTTGAACATTTAAGCATTTAACCTCTGAATCATTTAATCTGGTTTATTGGGTTAAACAACCCTGTTGCATAACAATACGCCTACAATTAAGAACATATAAAATTTGTTCCGGATAAAACCAGGTTAATTTTAAATAACGTCACAAGAATATACCTCAATGAACACAGGAAAAGATAAATAATGAGACTTGTATAAACATCTGCCTCGGGCAACATTCAATTGTAAGTATTCTTGACGGATTTAATACGGATGAAAATTTAATCATACTTTAAAAATGAAAATTTCCACTATAAAAATAGAGTGGTGTAATTGAAACAAAATAATTCCGGGAAACTACCCCACACCCCAATTTATTCCTTGAAGACACGTAATACCGATAAAACAGAATTATTTTCCCAGTTCGAGTTTCATAATAAATAAGAAGATGTGGTATTAGTGCCAATGAGACAACTTTCCATCCAAGTCGCAATGTATAAAAAGTATAACTGATAGATATATGAGACTGGATTGGGTTTTCAGAATAGAAAATAATCAGCCAAGTCCGAGAAAATAAATGAGCCAAACAATTAAGAATAGACAAAAAACTAAGGAATAGAGAAAAAATAGGTTGCTTAGATATAAAGAATAGAAAATAAGAAAATAAGAGACAAAATAAAAAGATTAGAGAAAAATGGCCCAAAATATTTAAGAATACAAAAATTGAGATCCCCCTATCCAGAACCTGTATCCTTTTGATCTGTGCATTCTACTCAAGTAAATAACCGTATTGACACCAACTATAACTAATTGATAAATCTAAATAGGTTGTATTTTGGGAAATACATATTATAAATCTGCAACTTAACACATTGAAACTAATAAGATGGAAGAGGCGAGTTCGTACAAAAGTCACACCCCGCGTTTATGTTCTTGTCCAATGTACGATATCATGTCGGTAGTATGTGTGTGTGTGTGTGTGGGGGGGGGGGGGGGGGGGGGTGTCTCTCATTTCTTTATTCGTTAATTTTTAAATCATTTTTCTCTATTCTTTATTTATTTTGCCCATTATTCTCTTTTATTTATTTGTTTGCCTATTTTTCTCCATTCTTTATTTTTTTAGCCCTTTATTCTTCACTTTTCATCCACTATTCTTTATTCTGTAACCCCCATCCAGAACCTCGTATACTTTAATTATACAAAATTCCTATTTAAGCATTGTACTCACCCCCTCCAATATAGCGATTATCATTCAGAATTTGTTTCATTTTAATAGTGCTCGTATCCTCAGCAATGCTGTACGGTTTATAAATACATATACCATTGGACCGTGCCAGTGCCTTTACACCTTCTATCCCACTTGCACCGTAGGCATCGTCGATATATAAAGCTCCTGCATATTTAACATTTAGTTTCGAAATTAACTGAATTATTCCTTCAATTTGTAGAGAGTCACTGGGGACAGTTCTCATGAAATATGGGTATCGAACCCTGTTGTCCAGAGATGTAGCTGAAGCGGCATAAGACACCATAGGAATATGAAGTGAGCTCATGACGTCAGCTATGCGTTGTGTCACACGACTGGAAAGTGCTCCAACTACAGCCACCACTTTTGAAAAATCTATAGGAACCTTGCTTTTTGGTTCAAGCAAGATACGCTGTCCCGTAAACAACTCGGTAATGAGGGCACTTATGTTGAGTTCGTTGTAACAGTCATCTAAAGCTATAGCACCAAAATTTAATCCTGTTCTACTGGGATCTCGTAATGATTTCACACTTTCAAGGAATGCAGACACAGTAATGATTGCAGTGGATCCAGTTCTATAACTGCCACATTTAAATAACTTGCTTTCGTCATTCGATGTTTCATAAGCGTCTTGATGTATAGAAAATAGACCCAAAATGAGTACGTCACCTGGTGTATAACCAAACTGTAGTTCTTCACTGTCTATACATCTTGAGCATCGTGGTTTTTTACAAATAGATTCCTGAATACGTGCATTAGAGTCAAGATTAAGTACCCCGTTCGAAAAATTGCCAATCTGAAAATATTCAAAATATTAGTAATTATTTACTAGTTCTTTATGTAATGATGTGATTTGTTTCATACAATGCCAAACTATTGTTGACATCATATTAAATGTGTAATGTGATTTATAATGTTAGATCTAGTAGGAAAATTTCTATCACAAAAAATTCAGAATGAACATATTTGCTTTCGCAAATAATTCAGAATTATTTTCAAGTTTTTCATTACAAACTTTTGAATTTTTTTCAATGGGCGACTTATTAAGTTTCTTTGTACCAAGTTGTTACTTCGCTCATTAGGTTAAGTTACTGTAAAAATTAGCAAGATATTCAATTGAGGGGAAATCAAAAGGATTCCGAATGTAAAGCGAAATCAACGACAAGTATGCCAATATAAAATGTGACATTTTAAAAATAAGATGTAAAACAAAATCAACAGAAAACACCTACTTACAAGGCTTTCATTGCTTTTCGTCAGATTAAAAATATTATAGACTGACTTTCCTAAAGACAATATGTTCTTACTGAATCCTACACTGTCATCAATATTGTAAAAAGAAGAAACTGCTTGCAACGAAACATTAGATACATGCAAATATGTTGACAAATGATTCAGGTTTTGAACCATTTCATTACAAAGTCCCGTTGTTCCATTACAGAAATATCTATGCATATCAAACAGTGCATTAGCAATGGAAATTAAACTGACAACACTTTTGTCTACTTGAGACTCCTGTCTGTAATACGCCATGATATCATTTGTTCCACAGTTTGATTTCTGAAGCAGGTAACATATATGTTGTTTATATTCTGATAACCACGGATATAGATGTTGATCGGTATTGTTTTCTATCACATCTTGGAAATATTTTGTTAAATTCTGTAGCAAAATTTGATGAGGTGAAATTGAAAAAATATCGTTTGTTAGCGGTCTAGTAGCCTCAGACAGCTGTTTCCCTGTTCCAACAGAGGACGGTAATAGCACCATCAATTTTGAGGCTATACTGTATTGTGATGATTTTATTTCTTTTAAAAAAAGAATGCACTCTTTTACTGACCCTAAAAACAAAACACCAAAAGTTTCGTCTGCAGCATAGTTATTTTGTTCTGTAATGATTTTATTAACAACAGAACTGACATTTCCAGAATTTACCGGAAGTTGAAGATAACAGATATCCATGCCTGATGATTGTTTTATTAGTGAATCGAGGTATTTCATCCCTACTGAATCTTCTGTGTAAACTAGTCCAATGAAATTCCAGTTTTGAGAATTTATAAATTCAAGAATAACCTACAATAGATACTCATATGTAAAATGTGTAAAGACAACGTTAGAGAGTATATGTGGAAGGATACAGATAGATGCAGAATGATACGGAGAGAGTGTAAACATATATGGTAAATACAATTTATAATCTAAGAAGTTTTGTTAGGAAATAACTGATAATAAAACACATCAAATATCTGTAAAGTCTTATTTATCTATTTAAAATAATAATGTAAAAATGTTTTTTTTTCTTCTTTTATTTTGGTTGAAAACCTTTCAGGCAGAGTTTCTATGGGATAACTTGAACTTAAATTTCTAATCTTTTTGGTCTAGTCTTCCTCTACTCGTCTTTGGGTTTTTCTTTTCCGCTACATGACATAAAGTGATGTATTTCATCATTTAAATGTTTTACATTATATGCGACTGTTGCCACTATATGACGTCATAAACATATTGAACTAACACTGAAGATTTTATCAAAGTTAAATATACGCAAAGGTCTACCAACAACACATTTTACACACATTAAGATTTGTTTGGGTTAAGCTTTGGCTCATATCTAGAAATTACTATGAAATCTCAAAATGATAGTCTTAGTGACCATGGTGACAGTCTGGTATGATAAATGTTTCTACCTCAAGTACCCAAAGAGAAAAATTAGAAGCAATGAGAACTCAATAACATCTTAGAAATTGGTTGGGTTTTTATTTCGCGCAGCCTTTGGTAGGAGAATTTTAAAAAGTTGGTTTTAAAGTATACTTAAAAGGTCGGTAATTGTAAAAGTTGCACATCTTCCAATACATTGGAATTGAACAAAAGAGAAAACAAATAAATAAACGAAATTGTGGCTTATTTTTGTGTACCTTTATTTCAGTTTCTACACTTTCTACTCCAAAGAAAGCGCCAGGCGCTTTATCATATTGTTCATCGTAGTAGTCAACACTTATAACTGGAACCTCTAGACGGCTAAATTCTAATGCCATTGCTGAAGAATCTGGCGACGTCATAGACACAATTCCTGAAATGATATCAAACCAAATCATAAAATAGATAATATTCTGTCGTACTGCAAGCCACTCGCTTAAACAAAATGACAACCACTATAAATATATCCGAAAAGTAACAGGCAAAATGTGATGTACATGTATTTTGGTTATTTAGGTCGTTTCGTTGCTGTAACCCTGACATATACCTCTAGTCACTTTTTAGACATTTGATTAACAGTATACAGTAAGCCAACAGATTTGAAATGTTAACTCAACTAGTTGTTAATTCATCATTTAAAACACTTTGCAGATGTCTTTCAATTCGTACATTTGGATCAAAGATGAAGTAACAACTTTGTATTGAAAGAACAACGTCAAATTAGAACGTAGGGAATTTTACAATATAGATCTTTTTAAATTACTGAATATAAAAGTGCCATTTCAGAGACTATCTATCTACATGTAAGAACGTTCTTTTATTGCAGAGCATGACCCTGTTTTTTTTCGATAATAAATAAAACAATTCAGAAATTCAAAACCTCACAGAATATAAGAACCGTGAAGACTTGTCTGGTTGAACTGAATATGATATCAAGGTAAATAAAACAGAACTTTAATGGATAAGAGGGTGGGGGTAACTTTGATTAATTGTTCTTTCCTTTACATCCAGTGGCAAATATTTCATTCATATTCAGGAGGATGACAAAATAACAATAAATCCAATAGGTAGATTAGCAGGATTTCGATTGTCAGTGGAAAACGGGGATACATTAAATAGGGCCAGATATATAACCTAGCAACAGATTACCTACAGACTTTTCACAGAGTGTTTAACGCTATATACATACATGTACACAAGGAATCTGTTTTAAACGTTCCCTTTTGATCGGACGTAGCTACGTACTTATCTTTCCCGCACAGCCAAACAAACAACCCTCTTCATAATGTTTTAATTGCGGCAGGTGTGAGAATTCAACGACTTACTTATTTCTATACCCCAGTCAACCTTTCGTGTCAGAGTTAACCTCCGATATATGTAAAGTGATACGGTTTCAATTGAAGTATGTGAACAATCTTACCTGTATATATGGATATGTTGTCAGATGCCACACATTCTTGTAAGTTGCTATAACTGTCTTTGTGGAATATATCTGTTAAAAAAGATGATGTTCTTGACGGCAGCCCACAGTCGTCAAATATAGTATATCCTGCAACATAAAATACCTAAATTAAGGACGAAAAAATAAATAAAAATAGGAGGGTATGACAGTATTGCCCTAGACAAGTACTTGAGTATAAAACTTTATCATTGTATAGGTAGTCTGCAATGGATGTTGTTTAATAAGGTTTTGATTAGTGCTGTACATACCATGTTTGAGCTCAAACGGTTGTAGCATTAAGTTGTTTTTTATTATCGTTGTGAAATTCGTACTTCGTAGAAAACTTTTAAAAAAATCTTCCATGGAACAACTGCGCTTATTAGAAACAAACACAATCTGATTTATGCCTTCAGTTAAGGTCTAGGTGACCACACGAACATCACCATCACCGCATATATATTAAATTGAGACTCAAACATTGATGTTGCATTGATTATCTAATACACTAGTCTAAGACTATAGTACATAAATATGTATTCGAACTGATCGGGTGTGACTTATTTGTCAGAGTAACTAATTGACAGACTTTAGAGACAGACAACAATTCACGCGCTCATCTCGCCTGTTTAATTAATTATAACTGAATATCTTAAAACAGTATTTTAGATAAAGGTCTGAGAACATATGTATGAACAAAAACATCAATCATTGAACCATGATTATGAGATAAAGTTCAGGTACATCCAGTCACTGACAGACACATCGTTACAGTAATTCTAAATACCAATACAGTTAGTTACCGAGATTCTATCCTTTGCATGAGAGCTTAGATATTTATATCTGAACCATCAAAGTGAGGTCAAGGTCAGATAAACACTACCAGAGTGTCAAGTACCCCTTCAAAGAATTCCATAGAGCAATTATATTTGTCTTAACATTAATATTAAAAATAAATTTATTCTAAGCACTATCGTTGATCAGTGGATCGTAAAAATGAGGTCAAGGTGGGATACCTCTTTCAGATCGACATCGATTATATAGACCAAATAAAGTTGATCTCCAACTTATAATACAAATAGGCAAAATATGAACACTTAATGCTGCTCATTCATACAAGAAAGATTGACAAAGTCAGGACATGTACACCTCACATTCATTTGATACTATAGATTTTTTAAGTTGACCAATTACTCATTATAGTAAGAAATTAACATTATGTTCTTCTCATATATGTTATGATGGTATGATACTAAACCCCTAACGGGAAGGATTGTGCCTGATATTCATATGATGAAGACATAATCTTTCAATCAGTTTAATTGAAGTCTGGAGCTGGCATGTCAGTTAACTGCTAGTAGTCTGTTGTTATTTATGTATTATTGTCATTTTGTTTATTTTCTTTGGTTACATCTTCTGACATCAGACTCGGACTTCTCTTGAACTGAATTTTAATGTGCGTATTGTTATGCGTTTACTTTTCTACATTGGCTAGAGGTATAGGGGGGGTTGAGATCTCATAAACATGTTTAACCCCGCCGCATTTTTGCGCCTGTCCCAAGTCAGGAGCCTCTAGCCTTTGTTAGTCTTGTATTATTTTTAATTTTAGTTTCTTGTGTACAATTTGGAGTTTAGTATGGCGTTCATTATCACTGAACTAGTATATATATTTGTTTAGGGGCCAGCTGAAGGACGCCTCCGGGTACGGGAATTTCTCGCTGCATTGAAGACCTGTTGGTGGCCTTCTGCTGTTGTCTGTTCTATGGTCGGGTTGTTGTCTCTTTGACACATTCCCCATTTCCATTCTCAATTTTATCATCATAGTTACACTGACCTTAGCTCAAAATCTTACCAGTGAAACCACGAAAAGGTCAAGGTCCTGTGACTATTTTCAACAAGGCTATATCGCGGCGAGAGCTAAATTAAGTTTTTTTTTTTAAATAGGTACTGTTTAATAAATCACACAAAAAGTCATTAAATATATCAAAACTTAAGTTTAAAACAAAATGAATTTTATTACAAATGAAATTCAACACTAAAGCTACGTAATAAAATCTAAAATCACTTTAAACTGTAATAACATATTAACAGTTTAGAATATATTCCAATTTCTTAAAAAAAAAAACCATTTAAATAGATACTATCAAATAAATCCTACATATTATTAACATTATGATGGCTCAACGATAGACAATGAGAAACTCAAGTAATCACGGAAACTTGACGTTGACTAGTGAGTCTTTGAACCATGAAAGTGAGATTCAGGGCATGTGTTAAATGTCGGACGAAATTTCCCCCCTCATGTAATAAGCTTAAGACAATAATAAAAGCTGCTGATGCAGATATCGCATGGATGCATTCTGCTGAACGTTTGCTTGATATGCATTGGCAAACGTAAGAGCTGTTTGGAAAATTTCAAAGGGAATGTTAAAAGTGCTTTATGTTTTTCTATGACTGTTAATGACGTCTTTACACTACACCCATTTGATGTTGGATGTGTGCTAATTGATACTTTAGTCTTAGATACATGATTTTTTTATTAGTTGTTATGGGCTTTGAACTAGCTGTCAGTAACTGCGATTACTCTCAGATCTGTACTTATATATATACATATATATGTATCCAAGAAAAAAGGCACAAAATTGACAAACACAATACAGTAAAATTACATACAAATATAGCTCTATACATGAATAGTAACTCAATGTCTCTTTTGTTGTAGGGATGTATAAATACCTTGCCACGTCCGGTCTGTGTTTTTGTTACTTGTTTTTCTGCTTTGTATCGATCTGATGAGTAAATCCCTTTTCAACTGATTTTTATAGTTTGTTCATATGTTGTACTGTTAGACCACTGCCCAAGGTTTGGGGGAATGTTGGACGCCCGCTAACATGTTTAACCCCGCCACATTCTGCATGTGCTTGTCCCAAGTCAGGATCATGTAATTCAGTGGTGGTTGTTTGTTGCTGTATGTTATATTTGTATTTTGTTCATTATTTTTTTACATAAATTAGGCCGTTAGTTTTCTCGTTTGAATTGTTTTACATTTGTTATTTCGGGGCCTTTTATAGCTGACTATGCGGTATGGGTTTTGCTCATTGTTGAAAACCATACCGTCGGTGATCTATAGTTGTTAACTTCTATGTCATTTGGTCTTTGGTGGAGAGCTGTCTCATTGGCAATTATACCAAATCTTCGTATTTTAATATTGACACAGTTTTACGTAAGAGTAAATTTCAAGAGTTTATATTATTGAAATGAGTTGGTAGTTAATTGCTACCTTAACACTATTTTATTTTTAAATGAATACACAGTTTTACCTCACCATCGAACGTATTACCATGCAAGAATGCACAGTTATTCAGTGGTATAGTTAAGCCATGAATGAGGACGTTTTAACTTACGATTTATAACTCTTTATTGAAAAGAGAAATCTTATAACAACTAGCCATTAAATTGTTAAGTATTTAACATATACATTTACTAGATGCTTATGAAAGAAACTCGATACAGAAAAAATGTTGTGAATGAAACTAAATTCTGCTATTATATGAAACTAAGTTTATTGGCGAAATAAAAGAATAATTATTCAAGATTTAGAAATATTCTTTATTTTATCGTTTGTTAAGTGTTGAACACAATGCTGATATCTAAGCTAATTTGCAAGGTTAAAAAACTGATGTATTTTTAGCATAATATTCGATCTCAAAAACAAGTAAATTAAAATCAAACCAACCACGTATGAAGCTGATATAATGTACATGAATTCAAAACAACGGACGACCGAATACCGGCTTTGAAAGGGACACCCCACTTAATTTTGTCTGACGATAAAAGGTAGTACTGACATAATTCACAGGTGTAATTATTTAGACGAGACCGGATTATCGGTCATCTAATTGTCAACTCCCAATACATAGTACGGGGTCTTAGTTCAATAGCTTCTTTGTAGTCAGCAACTCTCTATCAAGGGAATCCTGATAGGGAAGTCGGCCCTTGAATATTACTTGTATATATATACTCCATATACAGGTGCTGCTTTAATGTTGCTACTCAGTAATAGTTATAATCCGATAGATTTACTTTAATACTGTAAATTCGGAAATTTTTGCGTGCATTTATTATTGCGATTTATGAAGAATTGACAATAATGCGAGATTAATTATTGCGATTTCAGGAAAATCTGCATACAGATGCATATATCAGATATCAGAATGCGAATTTGAATTATTGTGATACTATCCCAGTCGCACTATTCGCATTAATAAAAACCTCGCAATAATTTCTGAATTTACAGTATCAATCTTTTAACCTGTAAGGTTAATTTTTGATGTTTTCACTATCGTTAGACCAAAATTGCAATATATGGAACCAAAGTTGTCAGAAATGCTTCGGGAAAACATTAAAAGTTCGTAACATATACTCAAACTTTTAGTTATTTATTTATTTTACCGAAGACATTCTAGAAAATAAAATGTTTATTTATATAAATCATCTTTTAACCAATGAGTCTGTCAAATCAGCAAATTGAGAAATTCAAATTACTGATTTAGGATTTAGTTTACTTCAGTATCAGTTTATTGCTCTTGATGCTTACTGTTTTAATAATCGTGATTCTAAATTTATTATCAAAATTGAACAGTGTAAAGAGTTAAGTTGACTTAACTGAATGCAAGCGAAAGGAAGTAAGAGAGAGGCTTGAGTAGAAAGAAGGTAAATAATTGATGCTTGCTTTAATGTCCAATGGCAAATATTTCATGCGCTTGGGTCGTAGTTTAAAAATACAATAAATAAAGTTAGTTCTACAAAAGTGGGTCCACCGATATGAAGATGGAAAATATGGACTTCCAACGAGTATGTTAAATAAAAGAAATATACTATTTCAATGGGACATCTACCGACCCATTTACAAGTTATTGTAATGGCTTTATACATCCCACACAGCTATACCCTATACAGATCACTCCAAATATTAGTATAGGTTTTGCTGCCGGTCTGGAAGTATCCAGATGACCATGCAATGTACTTCTGCTCTCACATCAATCATTTTGTTCAGGTAAGTAGAAGAATTGAACGTAAATGGAAGAGCAGATTGGTTCTTTTATAAGATATAGCGTTCATCAGGTGCACTCGCAGGTTGGTTCCGAAAGCCAAAATATTTAATCGTTGCTAGCACAAAAACAATAAGAGCCTAAAATGAGAAGTCAAACCCGTTGTTTAGGTCGGTCTGATGGCGTCGCAGCCCAAGATTCAAAACAATACATACATTTGTTAACTTGACATTTACACACAAAATGCACCATTAGTATTTGATCCAAATAGTACCGAAGCACTGGCTAATGTGTGGATGGCTCTCTCAAGGAATTATAACATACCAGCAGCGTTATCAGCCGAAGCAACATATTCTACCTGTGTGTATTTTAATAGATAAAGTCTTTCGTTTTATGTTTAAGAGAGAATGTAAAACAATAACAGAAAACATTGACAGCAATTGAATATAGTGTCTTCAACTCTTTTGATAGTAAGATAACGGACCTTTATAAAAAAAATCACAAGTGTTTAGATTGTGCCAAAAATATATACTAGCACCACGGTTTGCATTACAGTCACAGCACCTGCGTATCATTACATCTTGCATTACTATCAGGAGAAAAGCCAGCTAGTTTTTTAAAGACACATTATGTTACACCCTTGGAGTTGACAAGTAAGGGAGATAAAATAAATAATATAGGTTAAGAAGTGTCTAATGAATTGGTGTAACGTTTGACTCTATCTCGAGTAATTAAATGAATAATTGACACCTACAAAAAGCTTTCTGTGGTTTAAATGATCGGTCTCCTACGCTATCAATAGTCCTTTGTCTTACCCTTTCGTAACAGGCGTCTGTGGTCGGTTTTGACAACCACCTTATGAGGAATGGACTTTTTTGTGTAATACTAATACTAATATTTTATTTTCCTAATCATAGTCTTCATTACAAGCATATCAATCAAGTTACAGATACAAACAATAAAATATAATTATGATAAGCAATACATATAACAAACAATAACTGTTCAATAATTAAAGAGAGGATAATCTGTTATGATACATTTAGATTGTCCACGGGTTTAGATAAAAATGTACAGGACTGAGACCTAAAAAATGCTTGTAGACGGTCATGTGCCTGTCCACAGTTAGGAACCTAGTTAGTAGTAAGTTGTCTTATCTTGGTTATTTACTTTTTTTGTCCTTATGGGGAAGTTGTAGTTGATGACAGAATTTTGGTTTTCTTTTGTTAAATTCACTTCTTTTCTAGACTCGAGCCAATTTAGAGCTTGTAATATTGTATAATCACTATTAATTGATCTCCAAATGTCTTTCAGTTTTGTCCTGAAGGGTTGCTGTCTCATTTTATACATGTGATGCCTTAATCATGTTCATTCCTATGAAGTACCATCCTACACAGTGCTTCTGGTGTCGGGCTTAGTTACCAACGAACAGCAGTTGCATTGGTACTTACAAGTTTTCATGTTATACACAACTTAAACATATCTGTGTATCACCTCAAAATTGGTAAATAATTTTTAGTTAGTTTTAACTTTATATTCCCACTGGAAAAAACATAGGATGTACTTTTGCCAAATTTCTCATGACTCAAATAATTTATAAGGTACAAATGTTAAACAATTGTTTATGTCTTTAGGCGGAAATGATATGCATACAAATGTTATATTTACCTAATGTTAGGCCTGGGATAAAAGAACTACTTCCTGAATAATTCCCATTCAATATCTTAATAATCCACTCCATAGCAATCGCAGACTGGAACCCAGAAACAGATATGTTACCGCAACGTTGACCATCTCTCGACTCGTGTAAACTGACAGGGATAGCAATATTGAGATCTCCTTCAGCACTGATTGTTCTATCCCGACAGTACCCATTAAACAATGTTTTGTCACAATTTGTGGCGTTTGTTGTGTTGATACCAAGAAATATAATTCCAATACATGTTGCTGAAAAGACACACCACCGATTCATGGTAAATAATAAAACATTTAAGTGCTGTGTTCGTGTCAGAAATCAGTAAGTAGTTAGTCCAACTAAATAAACTTAACACGGATGTGATCCATTTTGAATCTGTTTTAATTCATGAATATAGTTTTGTTGATATCGCTCATAAATATAACTGACGTCCTTCAATGTCCGACTTGACGTATACTTCATCGTTTGACAGCTTCACCTCAATGTAAAAAAAACAAAACATATCATCTTCTGGGTAGCAATTAACTTATTTTCTTTTCTTATTCGTTCGCGTCAAGGTCTGATAAATTTCTATATTCAGGTATCATATTTATTGTTGTCATATTTTGTGTATTTAGACAGAGCTGCTCGAGCGTAAAAAATTGTCACCAATCCTTGATTTAAATACCTTCTTACGTCTTTTATGAAGTTAGTTATTTAGGATAATTTCTATAATGTCCAGTTTAAATTCTTCTATTGTTAAAATGTCTGATGAATTAATTTCAACTTTCAACAAGTAATGATCAGACTCAAATAAAACTTCGTTTAATGGATTTTTAAATATTTATTTGCAATCACAATACACCTCGGATTCAATTGTCAACAACCGAATACAAAGTCATTTTGGCACTAATATGAAAGCAAAACATTATTATAATGATTACTCTTAAAATTCAAAACTTTTACTCGTTCAAAAAAACAAACAGGTTTTCATAACTGAAGCCTTTGGGTAGTTGATATCTAATTTGCAGCGTTACATTTTTCTCTTTTTGTCTTGGGTCGAGGTGCCATTTAGCTGTGATGGATTTCAACGTGGAGTTCTATTAAGAACGTGTTTTATATCCTCTTATTCTTATTCCTATGATCGGCACCAATTCAAGACCCTGAAAATGATCAAAGCCTGAAAAGTCGTGTATGATCTAATTTACGGACGCCATCACAAGTTGGTTGACCGTTATGGAATATCCGTTTCACAGATGACAGCGGAAATGTTCCAATTGTCGTTACTACAATCCCGTCCCCCTTTTCCCCGAATGTGACCTACCGAATTAGACTTATTACCGGGTTTGTACTAACATGAGCAACATGACAGGTGCCACATGTGGAGCAGGATCTACTTACCTTTCCGGAGCACCTGAGATCACCCCTAGTTTTTGGTGGGGGTCCATGTTGCTTAGTCTTTAGTTTTCTATGTTGTGTTTTGTGTATTGTTGTTTGTCTGTTTGTCTTTTTCTTTCTTTTTAGTCATGGCGTTGTCTGTTTATTTTCTACTTATGAGTTTGAATGTCCCTTTTGTATCTTTCGCCTCTCTTCAACATTCATCATCCAGCTCAGGAGGATATTTCTTACATAGAGATGTACATTCTGATAATATGAATTGAAATTGATCATGGTGTTCATTTCTTGTTTTTGAATTTAACCGTTATTTGATTGTTGGCTCAACGTCCATTAGGAAATATTGTTCTTTCTTTACGTATGAGGTTAGACTGTGAATTAGGTCGACTGAGGTAAACGACGGGAAATGTAGATTTCCACTAGAAAAACAATGTATGTTGGATTGGACAGAAATTTTGCATTGCAAAAGGCCACATGTAGGTCATAACATTGTTTCAAAGGTTCTAAAGTGACTCTCCCCACACGAAGCATCGGATTTAATGTCTACATTCCGACCGCACATCCTTTACAAATCCAGATACAGTAACTATATTTCTTTACTACTTTTGAGATTGCGTGGCATGAAAACCGTAGCACTTCGAAACTAAAAAGAAGTCTCTGTCGACCAACTAGCATATATGCATAACTGAGTAACAAAAATTATCCAGAAGCATAATAATTTGCATGAATTTACGATAATGTCCCTCTGGTATCTTTCGCCCTCTTCTACAAAGTCTTTTGAAGGGGTTTCAATCTTTAATTAATTTTCTGTGTTGTGGTTTGTAGACTATTTGTCTATTTTATCATGTTTAGATTTAACGTAATGGTGCTGTCGGTTTCTCTTCCACTTATGAATTGTGCTTGTCCCTTTGGTGACCGTTCCGCCTTTTATTTTGCTACCAAACTTGATTTTTCAAGTAAAGAAACCAATACACGATGAAACTTCAAATATGTTTCATGGCACAAACTATGTCACAAATTGCCATCAAATATTGCAGCAAACTCTTACCGAAAAAATAGAAATAAATAAGAAAACGAGTTCCGAAAGATCATGTATAGAAGCATCTACTATCAAAGTTTGCTTGATACATTTCTGATGGCGTTTTCAGAATTATGGTTGCCACAACATTCATGGACATTGGCTGCCTCGGCAATTTCATATACTGTAATGCCTCGATTGCTACCACATGAAATCTTCCTGTAATTTTTATAAAGCTGCTGACTCACAATATTAATTTTTATGAAAATTAGTATCAAAACACTTTTATTTGATAATCCAATTTCGTGCTGATTGTGTCACATATAAATCTACTCCTTACTTTACAAATATACTCTTATTATATGTCATGTTGAAAATTTGCACATTACGATCAAAAAGACTCAATCACCCAATGATTTCAAGTTTGGTTGACTATTGTTTGCTAAATTTCAAGTGCCAAATATTTTATACACATTCAGGAAACATATGTTCTTCCGTCCGGCAGTAAAACCCCTCCTAAAGTTGAGCACCCATTTTGCTGTGTGGCATGTTTAAATACGCAGTCACGTCATGTCGCGTGTAGGGTTAGTGCCACGTTCTGCCATGGCATCAACTCTTGAGGTTACCCAAGTGATTTGTTGAAGGTCAAAAGTTATGTCCCTATAAAAAAAAATCGCTAATTTTATGTAACTCAATGCAGGAGCTTTTATTAAGGAAGACCTAACTATAAAGGTAATCCATTCATTTTCTACATAAAGGTACATAAATAAAGTAATGTAATTATCATGTCCATGGAAATTTGACATAATGTTTTAGTTTATTACCAACCAATAACTTCATTATGATTTTAGTGAATCAGGAGACAAGACAACATAAAACAATTTTTTAGTATATATATGTATATTTATGAATTGATTTTTGCTTGCTTAATGTCCAGTGGCAATTATTTCATGCATAGTACGAGAAACCATTTATTATTAATACAGTATGTAGGTTCTGCAAGATTGACCTTTGCCATTGGGTCACTGGTATGTTGAATATGAGGCTGGGACGGGATTGCATATTTATACATCCCACAAAAAGGTGCTTCACTGTAGCAACGGTTTTACTGCCGGCACGGGAGAAGTCTAGATGACCATATTTTTTTACTTCATAGTCAACCCTCGGGGTAATCTATACTCATGAAAGTTCATTATTATCATCCAGTGACACATTATCGGCTGCAACAATTTACATGTCTTTAATGTTATTTATATGTTTATTTTGTTATTTATATGTTTTTCTTTAGTAACAGTCCTATTGTTTAGATTTTAAACTAATAAAATTCTTATTCTTATTTTATTCTTATTCTTAATGTACTTGGTGACGATTACTTTCAACGAAGAACGTTAATATTGTCTGTAAAAACTCCAGATCATCCAAAAAATAAATAGAAAAATTAACATGTTACGGCGTATTTGCAATGACAGGGAATAAGAGCATATTAAACAATTATTTTTTGTCAGGACTGAATAACAATTTTATTATACTGTAGTGCCCTGATTTCAAAATTTAAAACAAATAGTATAAATTCTTCTGACAAACAGTTGTTGGTTCATTTTTCTTCTGGACGTTGATCAAATTTAAGTAATTCTTTGTAGACTGTTAGTTTAAACATATCTTATTGTTCAAAATAACAAATGGATCACACACAAGTTTTACAACTTAATAACGTCTTCTCCAAGACAATAAGAAATATATACATTAGTTAATGAACACGCCAAAGATCTTATACAAATTATTTAAGTATAAAGACATGGACCCAAAGGAAAGTTGTTGAAACGAGTCAATGGATTTTAATCAAGTGCATCTTTTTGCAAAATAAATAAAACAAACACACCGAATTAACAGTGTGTAAATATTAAATGCGCAAACCTAGTCTTTTGTAAATATAATATGTAGACTGTTGTTTTTTTCTCTCGTTTTTTTGGTTTTTGCCGTGGTTTGTCGGTTTCACTTCGACTTATAAAATTCCTTCGTATCTTCCGCCTTTTTTAAGTCCATACATATATATTTTCGCTACTTTTATTGTACCGTTGGATTTAGTTCACTGCACGTGTACTGGTCGTGGTTGGTACAGTGTTGATGATGAATGGAGTCAGTTCTTCAACTATGCACCCGTAATTTTTCATACGATCTTTTGTGGTCCTGTGATTTTTCAGACTATGTAGTTACAGACCGTATACGCTGTCAAAGTCTTAGTCGTTGCTCTCTTTCTAAGCCGGACAAAGGTAAAACAATTTCGATTGTAAATCGCAGTTTTGTTTTACGGGTATGTCCAACGTTTTTTCTATTCATATATACAAGATATAGGCGTTCTGTACAAAATAAATGAATCTTGTCAAATAAATGGAGAACCCCTTTTTTCCAAGGTTTACGTATTTTACGTTGTCCTCCGTACGTTTTCATTGTATCAGTTGTTGTTTCAACTGCTCCCATGTTCTTAAAAGGAAACATTTGATAGAGATTGGTCTTACAGAACGAATGAAACTGATGGATTGCATCGCATACATGCAGAGTTGTCAAACCGGTATATTACTATGCATTTGGTATGCTTTCTGTTGACACTTTTAAAAGATGACAGATAAGCAAGCACTTTGATTAGTACATCTACGACCTTGCATTTTTATTCAGTTTTATATGTTTTACACATTGTTTCGTACCTGACTCAGGACGTTTCTGGAATAGTCCGACACATACACAAACTTTTGTATGTTCTGAAAACGATTCCTTGACATTTTGTAACCAGTTTGACGCTTAATTGGTCATGGATAATATCCAATGTTCTTCTATGAACGACCCCCTTACAAAGCTCATATTGAATAATATGACCGCCATGAAATAATACGATAGTGTTGAAAGTGGCGTTAAACACCACTCAAACAATCAATCTTGAATAATATGGTTAAGGACCCACATTTTTGATCGTCAACGGGCTCCATGACTTATTCTAGAATATATTTTCGCTGTGGCTGCACCTTCTCTTATATGAAATTTTTGGCCGATCTGTACAGAAGAATGATATACCTCCAGAATATATGTTTGCCATTTGTTTTTAATGCTGCAAAATTCAAAGATAATGTACGAAACCGAAAGGTTTTGCAAAATACACCCAAGGTAATCTATTCCTGGGGTAAAATCCTTTAT